AAATAAATAAATAAATAAATAAATAAATAAATAAATAAATAAAAGACCAGTTTCTTTTGAGATTAAAGTAAAACATAGAACACATAGAACTTAACCAAGAAACAGTTTCTTAAAAAAAAAAAAAAAAAAAAAAAAGAATTTCCCAGACGTGAACTGCTTTTGACACAATTTTCGAGAGCCGACGGACTAGGTTCAGCACAACCAATGCGCCCAGTCACAGATGGGGAAACAGCTGCCTGAAGCTAAACGGTTTGCCCTCAGCCTCTGACTGCCCAAGCCAAGTGTGCCCCGTGACACCACACTGTCCTGGAGAAGGGGCTGCCCACCTGCAGGACTCTAGCTGCCTAGAGTTCCAACCACTGAGGAGATGGTCACACAAAAGTCAGGGGTCTCCAGCGAGGCTCACTTCCCCCCGAAGGCAAAGGTGAAAGCCGATGTCCCAGCCTGAGACTTTTCCAGACTCATGGGGCTAACGCTAGCAGAGCCCACTCTTCACCCATCTTTCTGGAAGCCGGCTTCACTCGTGCGCAGGTGAGCACTTCCAGGCTCTCCCTAACGTCGTGCCCGCTGCCTCCCCCGCCCACCATGGGACAGGAAGAAGGCGCCAGGTGGCTGCTCAGACAGGACAGAGATGCTCCAGGTCCTGCACTCCAGAGTTCTGCAGAATCCCCTCCACTTCCTAGATCACAGGCAACACTGGAAATTGACTTTATTTTTCAAACAAGGAAACTTCCTCCCAGACAGTTATCATCCCAATCTCTGCAAACCCAGCAAAAGAACACCCCTCGTGTTCCCTGTCAAAGGGGTTTTACCTTGCCCACCCACGGGAGAGCACAGGAGAATGTTCACAGTGCACAAACCTTTCTTTTCCAAGTAAAGATGAAAGGTGCTCACAAAACTCTGTTTAAAACACGGGAATCCAACGAGGAATTTCCAGGCATTTGTGAATTATTCTGTCTGTAAAAAGATTAAGAGTAAAAAGCTCAGAAGGATATGTGCTGACGGGCACCCAGGGCAAATCTTTACGTGTGGAGATCCTTTTAGAATACCTCTGAAATCCTCCCAAACGTAACGAGGTTTTGCAGAGCAATCTGAAAGGAGGGTGGGAAGAGTTACATTTTACTAACCAAAAAACCCAACGGATTTTCAGCCACAGTGAGAAACTACAGAAAATAAAAAGGTTCCAAAAGATTTATAACTGTTTGAAGTTTCTTCTTAATGCAATCAGAAACTATTGCCTCAATTGCTAACATACATTTCCTGTTTGCTAGAATCCTGATTGCTTTCCATTTCTGGTCCATTCTAATTTATGACTCTACTAAAACTCATAAAATTCTATTACCCTGGGTTTTTAAGAAAAAATAACATAAGAGAAGCACTCCCTGAAGGAAGGGATCATGATGTGGCTGGGATAAAACCCAGCGTGGCGACGGCTATTGGAATGTGAAGAGGGGCACTCGGGGAGCAAAGGAGAAGCAGGCTGCATCTCTGATGAACGGGTATGGTTACTGCACAGGACCAAGACTCCAATTCCCCAAGCCACCAGCCCAGCACCTCTTGATTGGACACTGCACTGCCAGGCCTTACAGACGAATACAATCTCCTTGTTCTCCAGGAACAAAGCAGTCACAGGCAAACACCATTTGTATCGGCACACGGCTTGCCACGCTTTAGGAACTAGAGGGGTGATGCTCTGCTGGCCCTCCTCACACTCAATTTCCCCTCCGGAAACCCTAGCTTCTGCAGGTGGCTTAGTACATTCCGGGTATCGCAGTTATCAGCCAGCGTCTGTGAACGTCTACCCAAGGGCAGCCAGTGACAGGCTCAAATCTACAATAATTTATTACCCTCTCAACACTTTAAGTTTTTGAAAAATTAAAAGCCTGGGACTTTTTGGATCCAGAGGTAATGCCTCTGGACCCCTACCTCGCACCATACACAAAAACTAACTGAAAAATGGATCAAAGACCTAAATGTCTGAACTAAAACGATTAAACTCTTAGGGGAAAAAAAAACAAAAACAAAAACATAAGCATAGATTTTTATAAGCTTGAATTTGGCAATAATGCTTATATATATGACACCAAAAGCACACGTGAAAAGAGAAAAAAATAAATTGGACAAAGTTTTAAACTTTGTGCTTCAAAGGACACCTACCAAGAAAGTGAAAATAATTCACAGAGAGACACATATATTTTCAAATCATATAGAGAATATATAAAGAACTCTTACAATTCAATAATAAAAAGGACAATTAACCGTATTTTTAAATGGGCAAAGGACCTGAACAGACATTTCTCCAAAGATACAGAAATGGATGATAAGCTCAAGAAAAGACAGTATCATTAACCATCAAGGATATGCAAATCAATACCAATGAGATACCACTCCACACATTCTAGAATGGCTACTATCCAAAAAACAAACAATAATAAGTTTGCTAAGGGTGTGGAGAAATCAGAGCCCTCTTATGTTGCTGGTGGGAAAGTAAAATGAAAAAGTCTGGCAGTTCCTCTAAAGGTTAAACACAGAGGTACCGTATGTCCCAGCAATTCCACTCCTAGGTATATACCCAGAGAAATGAAAACTTCCACAGAAAACCTGTAAAGGAATGTTCATAGAGCATTACTCCTAACAGCCCCAGAGTGAAAATAACCTAAATGTCCATGTTATGTAATAGATACATAGCAGGTAGTCTATGCATACAATGGAGTAGTATTTGGCAATAAAAAGAGTGAAGTACTGACACACGCTACAACATGCATTACTCTTGAAAACATTATGCTAAGTGAAAGAGGCCAGACACAGAAGACCAGATATTACACAGTCCCATTTACATGAATGGCCAGATCTGGCAAATCTACAGAGACCAAAAGTAGACTGGTGGTCGCTTAGCGCTGGGGGCTGGGGGACGGGGACAGGGTTTCTTTGGGAGGTGACGAAACCACCCACGCACAATTAGCTTTCCATTAACCTCACCCTCTCCAGGGCAGCAGGAAGCCAAAGGGAACAGAAAGGTATCTGAGCAGCCAAAACAGCCATCACAAGGCCCACTCCCTGCACCACAACTGCTCAGAGGACTCCCCTCCCACCTGGGCCTCCTCCAAGGTGACTCAGAGCACCGAAACCTGGTGGACAACGCGCCACCCCCAGGACATGGGCCACTGCAACACAAGGCAGTTCCCGGGGCTCACCACCATTCTCTCCCTCAACCATGTGCCTCCCCAGCCCCTACTGAGTGCCACGGACCAAAGATCTGCATCACCAATGCCGTTCATACAATTTAAGTGTTTTATAGATACGTCCAGCAAAATGTTTCAACTAAAAGTCACAGGTAGTGCGGGCAAACTGCCAGTTGGAGGGGGGGAGGGGCAGAGCATCAAAGACAACCCTGCATCCTCCGCTCTTCACTCTTGTGTCCGGAGGGGCCTTTAGGACCCTTCCTTGCTCCTTGGGCTCCGGGAGTACCTTCCATCCAGGAGAGGAGCAGGCCCACCTGCGGCACCGGCGTGGTGACTCACCCCGCCGTCAGGCCCGGCCCAGCGCCGGCCTGCGGGGCCGCCGGGCCGAATCACTTGGTCGGGCCCCGGCGGCTTAAGCCCCGACCAAGCTCCGCGGGACCAAGTCACCGCGGAGCCCCAGCGGGGAGCGCTCGCCAGGGACGCCTCCGGAGCTGCGTCCAGCGGGAAGAGGATTCCTCGCCCCGGAGCCCGACGCGGCCAGGTCCCTGCCCTGTCCCCCTCCACCCGAGACCCTCCGGCGGGGCCATCCAGCTCCCGTCGGAATACTCCCCAAGAGCCCCTTCCAGCTCATTTCCAGCACCCCCAGAGGAGGGGCTGTTCCCAACCCACAGCCTCTCAACTCTGCAGCTGCGCCGGTCGCTGCATTTCCACTGACCTGATTGCAACACCTCCCGCTAGGTGCGGGCCCGGGAGCGGGGTGGGAACTGCCCCGCCCGGCCGCCCGGAGACCCCAGCCCCCCCCCCCCCGCCCCCCCCCCCGGGTCCCGGACCCCTTCCTGTAGGGCTCCTCTCCTACCCTAGTCCCCCTCTCAGCCCTCCGCCCCGGCCCCTCCCTCTCGGCTCTCTGCCCCCGTCTCCTAACCCTCCAGGAGGTCCTGGATCCCCTCCCCGTAGGCCCCCTCTCCTCCTAGTTTCCCTCGGCCCTCCGCCCCCTTCCCCTAAATCCTCGGGGCCCGACCTCTCCCCCTAAGCCCTCTCTCTGCCCCTTCCCCCGACCTTGCGGGTCCTGCGCCCCCTCCTGGAGGGCCCCTCCCCTCCCCTCCCCTAGACCCCCTCGGCCCTCTGGCCCCTTCCTCCTAGGGACCCGGGCACCCTCCCCTCATACCCCGGACCCCTCCGCCTCTGGTCCCTCTCCTCCCCCTTCCTGCCCGCAGCCCCGGGCCCCTCCCCCTCCATCGCCCCCGACCGCTCAGAACCGCGTGCCCTTCCCCCTCAGGCCCCGACCCCTTCCCCTTCCCCCAACCCGCCCCCTTTCCTCTGACCTCTGCCTCTCCCTCCGGCCCAGCCCCTCCCTCAGCCCCCAGCCAGCCCATCCCCTTCTCTCCGACCACAGCCCCCTGCCCCGGGAAGCCTCGCCCGCGCTCCCCCCGCGCCCGAAACCGCGAGCGGAAATGCGGCGAGACCGCCGCGGCCGCCGCTTCCTTCCCGTTTCAGGACCCGGCGGCGCCCCGGGACCGCAACTGAGGAACCGGCCCTCCCCACCTGGCGGAAGGCGCGCTCGCTCACCACCACTGCGGTCGCTCCGGTCCAGCCCGTCTCCGCCCTGCCTCCGCCGCGCCGCCAGCTCCCGCCGCTCCCGCTTCTGCTGCCGCTCCTAGGCGCCCCTCTCCACTTCCGGTTCCGCGGGCGGGGGCGGGGCCGCATCCGGGTCCCCGAGGCCCCGCCCCCGCCGGCACGCCCCGCCGGCACGCCCCGCCCCCGCCCGGTCAGAGGCCTACGGCCTTGCTGAGACAGCGGGGTGGGAACCGTGGTCAAACCCCGGCTGACTGGCCCGCGGTCCCTGCAGCCTCCCTCGTCCACGTGGCGCCGGAAGCGCCCACCGCTGGCGCAGGCGCGAGCTCCGCCCAGGTGCCAGCCTGCAAAGCATGCTTAAAAGTTAGATGACTGTACAGAGTATATTTAGGCCCACCATGCGCGGGCCAGACTGTGCTCAGATGGACACAATCCAAGGTGCTCATACTGAATTCATAGCACAGCCCGAGGGAGCAAAGGGAAAATGAGCCGGGAAAGGGGACAATGCCAAGTGCGCTGAGCCCTGAGGACACAGGAGGTAACTGTGACGGCCAGTCACCTAGGAGGAACAGCGCCCTCCTCATCCATCCATCTGACCATCCATTACCCATACGTACATCATCCATCCATCCGTCTTCTCCATCCATTTTCCATCCATCATCCATTCACCCACCTACCCATCCACCCACCCATCCGTCCACCTGTCCATCCAGAGAAGGCCAGATATGTGTCAGGAAGAGAGGTCAGCAGAATAAACGTGGCCCTTGCCCTCAGGGACCTTTCAGCTAGAAGAGGGGTCAGGCATTAATCGAATAAGTATATACTTAGGAAACAAGGTATATGCTATAGAAGAAGTCAAAGGTCATGACATTATATTGGGGAGAAGATGGGACCCGAGCTCATCCAGGAGATCGGAGGTTTCTGTGAGCGATTAACATTTGTGCTAAGGTCTGAAGGCCAAACAGAAGTAAACAAGGTAAGAAGGGAAAAATTTTCCAGGTAAGGAAAGAGCCTGTGCGAAGGTCCTGAGTCAGGAAAGGTCTTGCCACATGGGAACTGAAGGAAGTTCAGTGCAGCAGAAGTGTGGTGATGAAGCAGGGTCGTGGGGCAAGATGGGGCCAGGTCATGTAGAGATTGGGAGGGCAGAGCAAGGACCTTAGTCTTTATTCTAGAAGAAACGGGAAGTCCTTGGAGGAGATTAAGCAGAGGGGAGACATCATACAGTTTGAACTGTAATGAAATCCCTCTGGCTGCTGGGTGGAGAGTGGATGGGAAGATGGCCAGGTAGGATCCTAATATCCTACTTGCTACCACCAGTTCAGGCAGACTGTTGGTAGCAAGTAAGATGGAGAGAAGTGAGTAGGTACAAGATACATTTAGGAAGTTATATTGTCAGGTTTGAGGATGGACTGGGGGTATGGGGTGGGGAAGGAGATGTCAGGGGTCAAAGGATAATTTTTTAAAGATAAAATCATGATTTTCATACACATGTAAAATGAACACATGTCAAAGATCTTATTTCACTTAATAATAAATGAAGCAAAAATGTGTTACAACTTGTTCAGAGGGGAAGACAAAGGCATGCTGAAATGAATTTGCAAAAACCGGTCTATCCATAGGGCAATGTCAGTTGTATTTCATTGGACACAGGTAATCTACCTTTCTGTGGGTGCAAATTATTTGCATTGCTGTCTGTTTCCTCCAGGTTAACTTCTACCTCTACAGAGGTACGGAATAATCTAGGCAAAAATAACAAAGGCACACATCCTGTAGAATCATGTTTATCAGAGGCTCCAGCATTCTGTTAAAAGAATACCTAAGAATCATTTTTGCCCATTCTAAAGTCTGGAATTTTTCCTTCCAAAAGGATGACTCCTAGTATCTGAGTAGATGCTCAGACAGGGCAGATGGGCAGGGTGGGGAATGAGGGTTGGAGGGTGGGGGAGAAGATGCACCAAGATTGCGATGGAAGAGTGAGGATACGTTTGTGGACTTGGTACCTTTGAGGGGCCTGTTGCATGTCAAAACGAGGTCCACGAAGTGATGCTGGAGAGATGGCTTTTGAGCAGAAGCTTTAAGACTAAGCAGAATAAGGACTTAAAAAGGTAGGAAAGGCCATCCCGGGAAGAGGGAGGGATTGCAGCAAAGGCACAGAGGTGGCAAAGAACGGGGTCCGCGTAGAAAACCTTGAGGTCAGATGGATAGAATCGAAGTGTTTTCGCTTCCATCATTACCACGGACAGCGCAGTGCTGTGTGCAGTCAGGCATCAAGCTAATTGCTTGGTGGACTAAGGGAAGGCTCCCTTTTGATATAGGATTTTGGGCTCTGGACGCAGAGGACCTGACAATAGATCCCAACTCCAAGGCCTACTAGCTTTGTGACCGTGGCCAGTCACTCTGTCTTTCTGAGCCCCGGTCTCCCCATTTGTGCAGCTAGCTGTTTGTCTCCTGGAGATTGTAATATGCAGGTCCCATGTTGCTTGGTTAGCCCAGGGCCCAGCATACAGTTCGTGCCCAGTAAGTGTTGGCCCTGTTGACTGAAAAAGGATGCACAATGTGAGAGCTGTGAGTTAAGTTTCATTTGGGGCAAAGTGAGGACTACAGCCTGAGAGACAGCCTTTCAGATGGCTCTGAGGAACTGCTCCAAAGAGGTGGAGTTGGGGGGGGGGGGGGGGGCGGTCAGTAGACATATGATTTTAGTGAAGGGAGGGGTACATGCAGTCAAACACACATTTTCACAGAGGCTTGCTGCTAGTCACAAGGTGCAGATGTCCCTGTTAATGATTTTAGTGCTTTTCTAGGTGTGAGAAGATGCAAGAAATTGGACTCAGAAAATCTTCTCCTGAAAATATCTATCTGAAGACCTGTTCTGCCGGTTTTTCCCAGAGCACAGAGCACTTCATTCCTGATCTCCACCCTGACCTCCTTTCAGGGTAGGTTGAAAGTCAGTGGCCGCAGTGGCTCATGGCTGCATCCTTGTAGAGGCAGAGGGAAGTATCCCACCTGGAAGTAGGGGAACTAACATTTGGGGACAGCCTGGCTTTGTCAGACAGCACTGTGAGATTTTTAAAGTATAAGTGTGATATTGTGATTTATAAGAAATATGGGGACTTCCCTGACAGTCCAGTGGTTAGGATTCCGGGCTCTCACTGCTGTGGCCCGGGTTCAATCCCTGGTTGGGGAACTGAGATTCCCGCGAGCCACGCAGCGCGGCCAAAATAAAAGTTTTTTATAAAGAAGTATGTATTTGGTCATTCAGATGACCAAATGTATATTTCTTATATATAGTTGATCTTCATTCACAGTTCCTGTTTTACAGCTCCCCAAACCCTTGGAATTTCCTAACTGTTAAGAGCATAAATGCGTCTCGTTATGTGAATGAGCTGACTTTTGGAAAGTACCTAAGGATGGGAGCTGGTTGCCAGGAGAACCAACTAAGTGACCAGAGGGTTGGAAACTTCAGTCCCACCCTTGAGCTCTGGGGAGGGGAGAAGTGAAGAACGGCGGGTTGACTTAATCGCCAAGGGCCAAGAGTTCATCAATCGTGCATGTGTAATGAATCCTCCATAGAGACCCAAAAGGACGGGGTTCTGGGAGCTCCCGAGTTGGTGAACGTGTGCAGATCTGGGGAGAGTGCTGCTTGGAAAGCATGGAAGCTCTGACTCCTTTCTCACACCTTGGCCCTGTGCATCTCTTCCATCTGGCTGTTCCTGAGTTCATAACCTTTTAAAATAAATCTGTGATCTAGTAAGTGACAAGGTTCTCTGAGTTCTGTGAGCCACTCTAGCAAATTCATCAATCCCAAGGAGGGTTGGGAACCTCTGACTTATAGCCAGTGGCTTAGAAGCACAGGTGACAACCTGCACTTGGGGCTGGTGTCTGAAGTCCAAGGAGGAGGTCGTGGGAACCTCCAGTCTGTAGCCGGTGAGTCAGAAGCGCAGGTAGCCACCTAGACTTGCAGTTGACGTCTGAAGTGGGCGGACGGGAGCTGTGCGACTGAATCTGTAACCTTCAGGCTCTGACGCCACCTCGGAGCAGGTAGCGTGAGAACTGAGCTGAATTCTCAGGCGCCCTGCCGGTGTCTGAGAATTGTTTGTTGGTGGGGGGTGGGGGGGACTACCCCGACATTAGAAGTGGAGTCTCAGAACACCAATAGGATATTTCATTTTCCCCTCAAAACACCTTTATGCGTTGAAATTATTTTTTAAGAGTAGTTTTTATTGAGCTGTAATTACACAAAATACAACACACCCACTTACAGCATACAATTCAGTGGTTTTTTAGTACTGTCAGGAGGTGGCACTGTTATCCTCCAGGGCTCTTGGCCCCCTTAATCAATAGAAATGGATCAGAGGCCAGACAAGAAATTCAGGCAAGGCTGTACTGGGGCCCCCGCTGCAGCAGGAGGGTGCGAGAACAAGTAAGAGGTTCCCTTGCTCACTTCCCGAGGGGGGCAGCTGGTTCCCTCTATGGGGGGCGGGTAGGGGTGTGTCCTGGGGTCGGGCTGGAGCGGTGACTTAGGGGGTTTGCCCAGCCCTTTTTTTTTTTTTTTCTTTTGCAGTACGCGGGCCTCTCACTGCTGTGGCCTCTCCCGTTGCGGAGCACAGGCTCCGGACCCCCCGCGCAGGCTCAGCGGCCACGGCTCACGGGCCCAGCCGCTCCGCGGCATGTGGGATCTTCCACGACCGGGGCACGAACCCGTGTCCCCTGCATCGGCAGGCGGACTCTCAACCACTGCGCCACCAGGGAAGCCCCGCCCAACCCTTTGGTCGTGGTGTGTGCAGGGGTCATGCGCAGTACCCTGCTTCTGCTCCCGGCTCTTCAGAAGTGGCAGTTGGGTTTTGGGGCTTTTTGTATCTTGTTGTCCGTAATTGCCCCAACTGTACATGCACGCAGTTATTTTTAGTCCCTTAAAGTTTCTTTGTATTTTGTTGCTCGAGGAGATGTTTGGCCAGATGTAAGCACTGCAGCAAACGGTCCCAGGTCCCAGGTCCCAGGTCCCAGCCTGTCTCAGTGCAACCGTCACCACAACCGACCTTCAGAACATTTTCATCCCCCCCAGAGGAGACCCTGCTT